TAATAGGTCGCCTCGCAACCGGCGATACTGTCCAATGAATACTCTCAAAAAGCCCAAATTCGACCCATATAGGAAACCGCGTATTTTAATAGGATGCTTGAAAATGACGCTGAAGTTGATCCAGGGTATTGCAATTGTGCTTTAGGCATGGTTGCCAGGCATTACTTGCGCATTCGACAAGTGGATGAACATACTCGCTGGGCGTTTGACGAAAAACAGAAAAGCCTGTGTCCAAATGACCCTCTCAACGGTCCGACGTATCGGGCACGAGTTGTATCTGTCTTTTCGAAGGGCTTTGAACAACCTAAGTCATCCGGAACTTGTACACGTTGCAGCACATGTGTGCCGAGTACATAAGGTTAGAAACATTGGTGTCGTACGAGAAGTGCCCTACATTTATTGATGCAGGCCGCAGTGGATTTTGGCTTGCTGGCTGATGTACTTTATCTAGGCTGCAATGAATCAGGTGTTGATCGGCATTCATATTAAATATGTGCCACAGCTTTATCTCGCCAGCTAAAAGTAAGCAATTCGAAGCGATAAGTTCTTCGGGGTCATCAATATTAACGAATTCGAAGTACACGACCGCTCAAGAGCAAAAATGTCGTAGTTTATTTCGTTGGCCCCCAATGCATCGGCAATGATGGATTCCATGACCTAGAAAGGTGCCAGAGGAAGGGACACCGAGATGATTATTCCGAGTATCCGAATAAAAAGAGTCTGGTCCAAACACCGCTGAAAACTAGAGCTAAAAGTTACATCAGTTCCCTGGCTGCTGTTTCCATTGCTTTTGGAAGAATGACATTCCACTTCAAGAGAGCTTCCACTGCACAGTGATGCGGGCTTCCGCGCTACAGCTTCAGCGGTACACGAGGTGTGGTGGTGTGGTGGCGAGACAAGAAAAGCAGGAAGACCGGAAGACGGTACAGCACATCGAAATGTGGTAGCGTACCATCTTTTCAATGTTGACTTTCTGTGACTGCTCTCAGCTGTTTGTTTCGGAAAAAATCTCTGACGCACCTATCGAAGGCTAGTAAATGGACTGGGCAGTAGTCGGTGGATGGCACTTGAGGTTGTAGTTGGACGGAAGTAACTGATGATGCGGCTGGAGTCGACGTCATCTATCTGGACTTCTCCAAAGCTTTCGACCACCTGGATCACCGCATCCTACTTCAACGGCTCCAGAGCTACGGAATCGGAATGGGCAGTTTCCTTCACCAACGGAAGCTTCAAGTACGTGTTAGGGGATCACTCTCTAACCCGATTGAGGTGAAACGTGGTGTACCACAAGGCTTAGTGCTGGGACCGCGCTTATTCATGGTGTTTATCAACGACCTGGCAAAAGTTGTCTCCTCCAATTTCCTGCTTTTCGCCAATGACCTCAAGATATGGCAGACGATTAGTAACAATGAAGATCACGATCTACTCCAACATGACGTAGATTGCTTTTATAAATAGTCAAAGAGGAACCTGCTTCAGTTGATACATCTGGGTCACCAGCCGGTGAGCGCATACAAAGTTTGGGGACCACACCTTGGAGAAGGTATCTCAGGAGCGTGACCTGGGTGTATTAGTACAGGAAGATCTCGAGTGTGCAAAACAAACAAAACAAAAACAGTGAAGGCGACTAGAACCGGCAATCAACACTTCGGCCTGCTTCGCAGAGCCTTCGGTCGATTTGAGCCCTAAATCTTTCCCCAAATGCTTAACGCTTACGTGCGACCACACGTGGGATATGCTATTCAGGTGTGGCAGCCGTGGCAGAAACAGGATCTTATTGCTCTCTAGACTCATCAACGAAGGGCAACAAAAGACTTCAGGGGCCTCTTTCATCTGTCCTATCAGTTTAGAGTGAAACCTCTAAGAATTTACAGCAGTCGATATAGGCTTTTGCGGGGGATCTCATAATGATTCATCAGATTCTGAAAAACCCAAACCACATTTGCCATCCGCTGCTGGAATTGAACCACAACACTAACCCAAGAGGTCATTTTCTGAAACTGACAATACAGTATAGTCAACCTGGATGCCGTAGAAATTTATTTTCCCTCCGCGTGTGCCAGCCTTGGAACGCCCTCCCTAATTATGTCATCACTGCTCGCAATCTGGCGATATTTAAAAAACGAGTTGACGATGCGTTGTCACATTTGCATTTCATTTTATAAGTTGTTAGCCAGAGGCTACAAAACGCAATCAAACGGTGTCTTGCTAAACTCGCAACCAATCGATTTGTGGATTTATACGTTTAATCCGCGAACAGCTCCGCTATTCTACATAAGTCTATGGTGAGTCCACCAAACCGTTTTTCACACTACCATACAATTCACTTTCCGCAATAATTTCCATCCCACGGGACTTGTTAAGCAACGCTCTTTTTACCCGTACTAAACCATTGTTCCATATTCTGCCGATTCGCCACGTTGTCCTTTCGAAGCCGTTGACTGCAGGGGTTACTCTGGTTTGCATAAGCATCCAAAGAAGCGCGCCTTGAAGGAAATCTATACGCCCGCCTTGCTGCGTTGTGTGCTGTCGTACATTCTTGCATTCTGATTTAAACGAAAGAAACTTTTTTGATCCACCACAAACACTTGACCAGTGGCAATACTACTGACAATGCTACAACCCATGCAGGTAGACAATAGGGAAAAATACGATCAAAAGACTATAATCAGATCGCATCACAGTATTTTTACCATTGAGTGTAACTGCCAAGCATGGTGGCAAGCGTTTTCAACCAAGCGTGTTCGTGCTCTTTGCCACCCCAACCCGGGAGCCGACAACGCTCAGACACGGTACCAATTTCACTAAGACAGGAAGAAATTGACCGAGAGCTTCGTATAAATAATCGAGCGACTGGCAATAGGTTGTGTTCGCCCCATTAGCCCGGGATCATCGGTCGGGTTTGATACAAGCAGAAGTGCGAGTTGTTGACCGAATGGTCAGGTACTTATTTAAGTGTCCAATGACCAACGAATTCAATCGCATTGCGTTTCTCAAGGAAGTCGAAGGAAAAACCAACGCAGGAGTGTAACTAGTGCACTAAACGAACCATACGAGAATGATAGATGGTTTGTAATGGAGACCCAAGCGGAGTCAATGTGCACACACAAGGCGGAAACGCCGCGCGGTGGCTACAGTACGCGTTAGCTTGCCGAAGAGCACATGATCAGTCAGCTGCGCGTGAAGGCCACAGGGTTCAAGAAAGCTCGTTCGCCTGTTCTGGCAAATTTGGGAATCAGGCACGAATAGATTGGCCAGCGAATTCAAGCCGGCGTGCAGGGTTTGAGCGGAGTCAAACAAGGAGGCGAACGGCTCTGCCAAATATGGCGAACCGGGTGGAACGGAACTCGCTCACATTGGCTGAGGGCCGTACGCCGAAGATCGGGTGATCATGCTTTCCAAAATTAGTATGTATATATATATATATATATAATATATATATATATATATATATATATATATATATATATATATATATATATATATATATATATATATATATATATATATATATATATATATATATATATATATAGACGATCTATTCTGTAGAAGATACTCTGTTTACCGAGCCTTGAATGTTTTGTTTCCTTCGGTTGGTTGGGCGCGTGGTTGAGCAGACAGACAGTCGCAGTCTCACAGGTGAAGCAGCGCAGCAGTACAACAGTTTGTCCTGAAAGTAGCTGTATTGATACTGGCAGAGAATTTATTACAGTTGACATGGTCTACATTTAAAAACCTTCAAAGTAGGACCTTTGTAGTCACACAGCGCTCCCAAGGTTCTTTCTCCTATACGTACGCTCCCTTGAACTCCTCTTCTCTGGGATGCTGCGAAGGCACCCCGTTGTGGCGTCTTGAATGATTGGAACAGTCTGAAAATGACGTCCTTTGATGATTCGCTTCAGCCGGAGGGAAAGAAAAAAAGTCGCGTGGAGACGGGTCTGGGCTGTACGTAAGCGGTGGAAAAGTTTGAGTTTGTTTCTCCATCGGAAACTCCCTAGTAGCCGAGGTGGTGTGGGTCGACGCGTTGTCATGGTGGAGGATGCAGCTCTCTGGGATCTCAGGATGGAGGTGATGGACTCGCCGACGAAGTTGTTCGAATACTTCGACGCAAAAGTGTGCATTTACAGTTTGTCCAGGAGGATAAAACAGAGTGGCCGACTCCTTTCGATTAATTGAACACAATGAGCGTTGTCTTTTTTATTTCCTCTTCGGACAAGGTGAGCCATTCCGGTGCTATTAGGAACTTTGCCTTTTGGTCAGCGGATCGTACGCAAAGATACCGCATTCACCGCCTGTGATCAGCTGCCGCAGATAGCTTGACGGTACTGCCACACGCTCCAACAATTCTTGCGAAATTGTCACATGATCCGCTTTGTTTTGATCTATCAGCATTTTTAGCACCAACTTTGTACACACTTTTCGCATGCCGAATCCCTGCACCGAAATTCCGCAAACGCGCTTTGTGCAAGTTTAGTTCCTCCGCCTGCAAGCGTACACTCTTTCGTCGATCACCACCCAAACTGTCGCGCACACGGTCCACGTTTCTTCTCTCCCCTCATTGAAGGTCCTATGCCAGTTAAACGTCATCCATCGACTCGAACTCTCATTACCGTATGCTGGCTTTACCATTTCCAACGTCATCGTCCCGGATTTTCCGAGTTTGACGCAAAAATTAATTACGTAACACTGTTTGATGGGATGTTCCACTATTGCACGACACGTCACTCGGACAGGGATTTACGACTTCCACGATCCGCATGCTTCAACTGCTTGTCGACAATTGGGACTGGTTGCATCGCGTAGCTAACACCCCCACCACCCTAATCAGTCACAGATTTCCTCAACCACGGCGCATGTGCGAAACTACAGCGTTTGTCCGGTTATTTTTAGGACAAACCCTGTATGACACACAGGTTATATAATGCCGAAAACAATCAGCGGTAGAAACCGTATGAGAATTAAAGAGTACAAGAGTGATATTGAATGACATAGCTCACTTTGGCCAGGGCGAATCACGCGACGTTGGCAACTGAAGCCCTCGGGATCCCCTAGATCATTGGAGAGTAACGTGACGTTGATTTGATACACTACGCACGGAAGCAAGCAGGATAACTGGATAACTTGTTCAAAGTTGATAGGGTCCAACGGGACTTGTGAGCGCTGACACAACACGCGTTGTGCTTCATTTGCGGATTGCGGTTGAAATTGTGGTTTGCTTGCTGTACCCTGTACAGAATGAATGGAAACATACAGCAGGGTAGGTGAGTTAAGTCACGATGAGGCTTATACACCTAGGAGGAGCATTTTTAGTAATAAATGCAGTAGGGAAGCATAAGCTGGGCCCGAGCGTATAAAGAAACGTTGCAGAGCTGCTGTACATACAGATTCAGCAGGCCTTGATTGACTCGATTCGGCGAAGGACGATATTTCGTGTATTATAACTACTGCCAAATAAAAGGGAGCAGATGTTCCCAGTAGTCACGTGAAAGCAAACCAGTCTAGTGAACAGATGAGATCAATGAGGTCAAAATGGGTGACAAAAGATGAAACGAATGCAATCCAGTGAGCTTGTGGTGCGTCAATACTGGTACGGATAGACCGGCAAATCGGATTTTGAACGGGTCAGTAACGAACTGCGTCAACCGCCAAATACAGGACGATCGCCTGGAGTCCCAGATGGAGGTTGGCCCGCACACGTAGCGCTTGAAAGGCTGAAAACAACGGGGCACCAAGCAACCTCCAGGAAGACGACCACAAATGAATGGCGTCGCAGATGGTCAAGCGTAATGTATGGTGTAGATGCTTGTTTAAGTCAAGTCAAATAAAGTTTCATGCATGCAGATAGGTGCATTTTCAGCAACTTACAATATCGACAACGGATGAGCTAAACTTACATTATCAAAAAGAAATTTGTAGGAGTGAAGAATAGGACCCTGTCAATTAAATATACGATCAGTGTAAAAGAGCAACACTTAAACAGTTCCGGAAAAAAATAATTTAAAGCCAGTTTTGCAAGCTAGACTTTCCATCGGGACCGTCATCTTCACGTGCGCAGTATCTTGAAATTTTCGCAAAGATTACGCTGGGGACAGAAGCGGTGACAATGAAAATAGCTTGCCAAATATCCATGTTAAAATATTCTGAAAACACTAACGTATCCATAGCGATATTGTAAAAATGATGTTCAGTGACAACGGCACGGCCGATTTGAAGGTTCCGCTCACATACTTGTTGTCGTAATGTGCAGCTTTTCGTAAATTTTGTGACTCGTACGCCGTCTAGTATACTCAGGTCAACTTAAAATAGGTTTAATACGCCTAAATAGGCGCATTAGCAGCGTTTACACTATCACTGCGGATACATTAAATGCATGAGACCAGTTCAAAATACATAAACACAGATTTAAGAATTAAATAGTCAAAGGTATGTGGATGTCATTCAAGCAATCGCATGCGCAAAGCATTCCTGACTTTCATAGGGTCGACAAGAAAGCATGAGAAATAAGACAAGATTGTGTTACGATACGAAGAAGTGCGAAAATCCTAAATTTTGAGCGTGTATGAGAGACAGATAACGTTTATGAGAGATCAACTTGTAGCGGATGAGAGCGGTCACTTAAGACCATAGAAGAAAATTTCATGCAAGCGTCAAAATGCTTACGAGCAATAAAATCAACTATGGAATCTCTCGGCAAACCACTACATCTGGAAATCAGTTTAGTCGATCGCACAGTCAAGACATAATCCTTCTGGAGTAGACCAGGGAAGATGACTGGGGCGCAGTACAACCAGTGGGGTAGTATACATGCAGTTACAAATCACAAAATTAACTTTCGCGGAACGGAGAACTTCTTAAGTCGGAAAGCATAAAAAGATAACCTTCTGACTTTGTGAAAGTTCTCCAAAACGTGCATGGACCAAGAGAGGTTTTATGAAACATAGACACTGAGATATTTGACAGTGGATGAAATAGGAATGGTTTTGTCCTTCAAAGTTAATAGAGGGGAGGCATGCAAAATTGCTCGCAATTTACAACTGATTCGGGGTCAAAGAACGCTGGACAATTCCAAATCCTCAAAAGTTACCGAAAAAAACTGTTGTACCATAGAGACGTTACTACAATGCCCGATGCTTTTGACGCTCAGCAGTTCCGAGTCAGGCAGTATCATACTATTGGTGGTCGCTTCATGTTGGAATGTGGACTCCCAGAAACATAAGGGCAACCGCAGCAATGGAACAATGGAACAATGGTTTTATACGGGTATAAGAGCTAAAGCTTAACAGGTCCTGTGGAAAGGTCATAGTAAAAATTCAAAATATAGGAAAAATTTGTAGGCAAGTTTAGGTTCACACCGGTAGACTCACCGCAGTACAGGTAGTATAAAATGTAAATCCACTGTAATTCCATAGGGAATAATGGCGAACGAGACGTCAGTGAACAGTGTGCCTCCTCTTAGTGAACACATACATGAGGTAGAAAAGGTGGAACGTACGCTGTGAGTTGACCGGCAGTGAAATCACTAATAGGCACTTGTGTTTAGGTATGCACAGTGAGTCATATGGTGTGGTGCAGCGAAATGATTGCACGGTCAACTCGGATTTTGAACTCTACCAGCGTGGGAGTACATATGACAGATTCCGGTAGGCTATTCCACAATTTGAAAACACTTAGGGTAAAGCAATTCCGGCGGCATTCAAAACGATTGTACTGCTCCACCAGCTTGAGAGGGTGGCCTCTTAATTTGCTGCTGTGACTGAGCTCTAGCAAATGAAGTGTGGTTGAAATCACTCAAACTCAAAAGGGGGTTCCCACGCAATTGCCGATATTGTCTGTTGGAGATCCTGCATACTCGAAGCTTTCGTTCATACAGCAAATTATACAAATACTTTACATTCCTGATTGTCCGACGTTGCGGTAACGCCAAGGGGCATCTCTGCAGCCATGACTGCCGGACTTGTATTGCGTATTCCGCATGTAGATGTATGTATGAGCCAAAAAGCTGTTGAGAAATCGAAGGGTGGAATCGTCCGAAAGCACGCAACCCAGCAACATTTGCTCCCATCCGCGTGCGCCGGGTCCACTGTCTGCGTCACGCAGACACAGCACAAGAGCGCAGCGCGTACAAGAACAAAATGAGTACGTAAGTGTGAACTCACAAACGACAGCAAGTCTAAAAGGACGTGAGTCACCAAGTGATGAGACAAGATGGATTGGCGTCATCCGTGTCCGGATTTGCTTGTCACTGTGGCCTCCATGGGGACAGCCACAGGATGCCTGTGCATACAGAGGAACCATAGGTGGCTTACGCTGCATTACCTACAGTTCCACCCACACACCCATATTCGGTGTAAACACGGAGAAATAAGACCGGGATGCATGCGGATGGGAGCCAGGTTTCATCAACGGAGCTGGCCCACACTCCTTCAACGTGTACAGCAGCACAGAAGCATTCCTGACTAATTGGGAAATCATGCACACCAGACGTACACAAGAAGGTAGCTGAGCCTTAGCCCGTTCTACACAGGATAGAATCATGCTTTGAATATAGCAGCGTCACGCGGAAGGTACACCTCGTCCCTGCAGCAACGACCAACTGTCTCCTGGAGCCAGCATGGAGGTACTGGTGGGTTATGGACAAGTATGTACCTTGTCAACATTCACTCAGTCGCAGCCACACCGGGGAGCTCAACCAACACCTAACTCCTGAAATGTAAGTATACTCTTCACGCAGGCAAATGTACGACATCCGCTGTCTTTTTGGCTTGAATTAGTAGATCGAATGGGAACGGACGCATCGCGCTCTTCCTCCACGAGCAACTGTGCCTTCCCCTGCACCTGGGCAACCGCCCTCTTGACCAGCCCACGGGAGTTGCACTGATCAAGTTTGTCTCTGATTCCAAGTCCTGAACTCAATATCCGTTCGTGATAAGCCCACCTAGTCCATGTCCCGCTAATGAAATTTCGGTTTGCCTGCGTGCCATTTCCCTGCACTAAGTTGGCTGTGCCAAAGCTGGCTGAGTATCGTCGAATTCATTCGGTATACATATGTACATGCATTGGGGTCATCCTTGTCCACTGGCAGTTCGGATACAACATATGCACATGCGTTTGTTCAAACCTAAGTATGAACTACCACAAACTGGATAGAGGCACATTAAAGCTTATGAACAATAGTACTACAAACGTGCATGGGTTTCGTGTGGAGATAACGCCAAGAGCCACGATAACATAGGTCATAATGAGTACAATGAGCACTTGCACCTGTGGTGTGCGGTCCATCGGACATACAACTAGGTGACCGCCTAAACGGATAGCGGATCACTGTCCCACGGCATTGCAGAAAGGTACCGTCAGCAGCATCACGTGTTCTATCCAAGAACATTTAGTCGAAAGTGAACACAAAAGTGGGACTGTCGATGCCTTCAAAGTATTTTAGGTCGTGTCAAAACAACCCCAAATGGCTTAGAAAACGATTGTTACGGACAACCGAAGCAGTTGAAATCAGGATATCACAACCCGCGCTATGCAAACAAACGTCGCTCGCTCAAGTGCTCCTTCTGCCCTGGGGTTAACACACTTCCAGACAGCTTTTAATCCACACCCTGACAGCGGCCGGGTGATGGTGAGTCAACCAGTCGAAGAACATTTGCTCTGTCTCGTGGGTAAATGTGTGTCTATGTCTGCAAACGTATACTGTGGTAACTGCTGCCTGTGTAAATCGATCAATATATTGAGTAAGACAAATCAATTTCCGCTTCGTTCTGTTGCTGCCAATTAGTGCCTCGTTTCACCAGCCTATCCTGTTTCATCTTTCCATTTTATAATTGTAAATCCCTGATGATATTTAGCGAAAAGAATGATCTTCGAAACCTTGTGTTCTAACAATTAAATGGGTATAATTGTCGAGGTAAAAAAGAGTAAGTAACCCAAGACGTTCAGGGACTTCAATAAATGTTTGCAGGTGCGAAGCTCAATATCAGATTTATACAGGAATATTTACAGCATAATCAATATCCGAAGGTGTATTGGAAAGCTCTCAAACGGTGTCGTGTGCTTCTAAGCACCAAATCACTCAAGCGTCATGCACATAACATCCTGAAAACTGTCCAGTCACGAATCCCGGAGTTAGAATGTCTGCGTTCGCTTTACGGTTCAATAGTAGAAGAGCTCTAAACAGCGCAGCGCGATGCTTTTAAGCAATATATATACAAAAGTGTGTACAAATG